CGTAGTATTGCCGAGGAGAGAAGACTATATATTTATATGAACGCCAAAAAGTTGAGATATACCCTATTCGCATCCCTTGAAACATGCCACTTCCAATCTTTCACCCCTCGAATGAATTTCTAAAAATGAACAGTGATATTTATTTTTTGCTTTATTTTCAACATAAAAGCTTTTTCGTCGTTGGCATAGTAACTTTCTGTCAAAATTTTATTGCATTCCGAGCACTTCACAGGTTATAGAGGAGCCAATGAACAGCGGACAGACCTACAAGCAGACAGACGTAAATTAGTGAAATGATTTTTTGCGATGCATATACATATGTTACATCCAAAAAGCATATCACATGTTTCTTAATTTCGAAAATTTCGAAGAATCACCTGATGATTATGCAATAACCAATGAGCATTATTCCATATGCAAATCTGCCGCTCAAAGCATAAGTACACATGTTTTTTCATATGATCTCCACGAGATTGGAGCTCGCTATTATTTCGAAAAAAAATTCCAATCCGTTCGATATGACAGCAGCAGATCAAAACAAACAACTTATAGTCATCAGTCAATTACAATACCATGAAGCAATATTCACATTAGTGTGCTTTTTCTTTCTCTTTCGCCAAAATCAAAATGACCTTGAATTTACTTTGTAAAGCTCTTAGAGCCGTTTCAGATGTAGCCGACGCTCAGCACTGACCGTCAGTGATGATGAATATATGTATTAGCGTAAATGAATCATTTCACATGCTTTGCGTATGATCCGATCGGCACGTATCGTCCGTCGGGCGTCAGCTGAGCCCGACCTGATGCTCACCATCAGCACGAGGTAGGGCCATTGTAGATTTGGTATATTTCACATGCAAGCTGATGGTCGACAAGCGGTGTTGCAGTGTTTTCCTGATTTGGTTTGTTTATTGGTGTGTTGGTATTTGCCGAAAGTGTATAAAATGACTGATAGGAGAAGTAATAACATTTATATTGATACCGAACTATAAATAGCTGCAATACAAGAAGAAAAATGTGTTTGGGATTTCTCTAGCGACGATTATAAAAACCGTGATAAGAAATATGCTGCTTCCATATCATATCGATATCACAAGCAACAATGCACCCTACCTTAACTGAACTTACTAATATCTGCTTAAATAATGATCAATAATATTATATATAGCTATGAACATTTTTATTATTCTTTCTATTTCTTGTTGATAGAGTACCTAATTCAGTTTCTTGAAATAAATATTAAACTTTGTGCACTACCTACAAGTTTTTTCCTTATCTTAATGCTACACACTTTCGCTCCACCGACGAAATAGAAACTCGTATTTTGTCAGTAACTTTCAGGTTACTTTCTAATTTGGAATGCAGTTTGTCAAAAGATTTTATTGACATTCGATAATATTTATAAAATCTTCTTTCATCTTCTATGAGGCTGGCGCTTAATGTTACGAATGCACCTGCTTCGTTTCGCTCTAGTACAAGGGGGTGTATCCACAACCTCTTTTTCATCGGTTTTTGTTGTCGTCTTCTACATAAAATAATATAAACGTCAACGGCGCGCACGATGTGGTTTCGCAGATACATATTGAGCACTGACCGTCAGCGCTGACCGTCGCGTCGGCTACATCTGAAACGGTTCTTAATCAAATACAATTTATGAACCACGTACCCCAGTGAAGTTAATTATCCCCTTGAGAATTTCTTTTTTATTCTTGAACAGTTCGCACCAGTTCCATTTCAGTGTCAACGCATACAATTACGCTTGTCCGTAAATTAACTTTGTGGGAAACATTGAAAAGATCAACATGACACCTCACAACTGCCCTTCCTAAACGGTGTTTAAATGAAATACTTTCTTCAGTACTCTCCGAGTATTTGTTCTAAGGGACATTCACCATTTTCGCAAATCGGACAATTATCTTCCTACCCCTATTTCTCATAAATTAATCATAGGACTTCTCTGGGTTCCATCAAAACCTTTGTTCTATAAAGCGTGAAATATATTATACTAAATGTTTAGACAAATGTTTTGTATGGGGTTCTTTTACTATTTTAGAAGATGGAACGTTACATTTTCCGTTGCTCGGCGTTTGAATCAGTATAGTGAATAACTTTAGAATTCAAGTATAATCGTTAAGATAATAAATAATATTATCTTCAGAGATATACTGCTGGAGCTTTGCTACGACATACTTTTATATCAGTTACATATAGTACCTTTATTCATCTCCAACACACACCTGAAACCTGCCTCCAGCAGTAATGAAGTCTGAACAATTACGAGCTTCGTTGACATTATCCCGAAAATCAGTCGCTATCTCTCCAGCTATAATTAGAAGCTCGAACGTGCATCACGTACTCGCTTTGTGCACCGAAACTGATGGCAGTGCCTTGTCCACCATGGTGGAACTTTTCTCATTTAGCATTGCCATGGGATCTTTACGCCAGCAATGCTGGTTCCAGACTAAACAGATTAGAGAAACTGAATGACTTACTTAAGGGTAAAGGTCCCACAAGCCGCCTTAGTAGGTGGAATTATTTAACGAAAGCATTCAAAAGCATGTGGATAACCTTGACGTGATACATCATGGTCGATGGTCGATGCAAATTTTGCAGAGTACGTAACAACTGGTAACATGATGAATACTTAGTACTCCCCTCGTTGTCGAGACCCCTATTTTTTTTTCATCGAAAAGGATGTCTAAAAGCTGTTGCTTTTGGATACCGAGGCACAGAGGTCTATTTATTGGAAAACCCGGCAAACATTGAAAAAAAGGTCGAAATGACTGGAATTTATTTCCTATTTAGCTTAATAAGTTGGACTTGGGATCAATACTTTGCTTACATTACCTTTACCATGACAGACAATTGAACTTGGTTTTTGTTTTATCAATAGACAGTCCTCTTTAACCGCGAAATTGGAGAGCTTCTGTATTATCCGTTGTATTGTCGTAGTTAGTGAGCCCTCAGGGGGTGGTTCTTTGTACTTTGGCGCTAAAGGAGATACAAGCTCACAAGGTACACAAACATTTATCAACCTAAAGAAATAAAAAAAAAATAAAAGAAATCCTGGAGAACAAGCAAAAGAAAGTTATTTTGTACTAACCCCCCCCCCTCCCCTCCGCCCACAGCTAAATGATTTCCAGTAAATTTTAAAATAAAAAGCCACCTAGGTAGGAAGTCACAGATGCAACTCAACACTTTAAGGTAGAAATCGACGCTAGAACCCTCGAACAATCAGGGTTCACAGAAATGGGGGACTGTGGGTCCTACTCAGGGATCACCTCGGGGTGTCAATGCAAACAGTCCCCTCAGCTCGATGGTTTAATGTAGTAATAACAACGGCTAGTTCCCCAAGGGGGTGAGAAAAAGGGCTGCGCCAACAAAACGCACTAATTGCGGCCCATTTCTATTAAAATCTCCACCACCCAATATACTACAGCACTGTGAAATTATTTCACTAAATCATGTTTTGGCGCTGTATTGCCTACACAAGAGCACCGGAAATAGAACCTTCAGCTCTCGTATTACGGTAGACAGAAATTGTAAAAAATGACCTTTAACGTGATGGAGACCAGAGTACGATTTTCTACCATAAAATTATTAGACCAGTGTCCCTATTCTTGAGTTTGAGGGAGTAGAAATTGTAAGAGAAAGTGGCAAAAAGTGGGCGTGGCCAAGAAATGTAGTATTCTTGAAATCATTTCTACCGAAAAATGAATTCACTTTAGGGAGTCGCGATTTCTCTTGGTACCGACCAAGAGAAACTGGAAAAATTACTAGAAAATAGCGCTATATAACCTAAAAATGGACGTTTTTGGCATTGTTATTGTCGTTCGTTAAACATATTGCAAAAAATGGATAATTTCAATCAATTGATGCGTTCTGCGTAGAAGGTAAGTTTTCTTAATTAGCGGCAAAGTGTATATATTAGGTATTCTTCTTAGTTTTTCTAAAATGCAACAACTTGTAGAGACTTTCTTTGGAGAGATGTAACTTTCAAGAAACAAAATGATGTAATGGTGTCTTGAAAAACAGGTTTAGATTCTTTTACGGTACAGGTCCCTACACTATAGACCTACAATAGCAGGAAAAATTGTTAATGCATGTTGTGTTTTACAACATATGTGCATTGATAATGGTATACCTGACCCAGATGAGCCACATCCAGAGGAGCCGGACTATGGCATTACACTGTAGAAAATCTACAGCAAAGAAGAGTAGCTGGAAATCCTGACCTAGCTACTGCAAGGCAGATACAGGAGAACATAATATTAAATCATTTTAATGGATAAAATAAATATCTACACTAATAAATTCCAAAATTTGTAAAAAAGACATTTGTTCTTTATTCTAACAGGTACGAACATTGCTATAAAACTATAATTGGTTTGATTTCAAGCTTAATATAAATAATCTTAAGTTAGGCACTAACTAAAACAGACAAACAAAACAAGTATCCTTTAAAAAACAAATCTGACTAAACCAAACAATTATTTCTAAAAAAATAAATTATTTGAAGCACTCTAACTTAACAACGTAAGGCCTCAAGATTGATCCTGAGTTAATTTTTGACAGGTTCATACCAGTCTCAAGTCTAAGCATTAATCAGAACCAAACAACAAACAAGATAAATTTGAACAGTTGTACTTACAAAAAAAATATTATTCACAAAAGTTAATTCTAACAGGTACGTAGATATAACACTTCAAAGGTTCCTCATAAACTGAATAATTAAATTAATTCATATATTCACATGCTTTATTAATACTATTAGAAATATCTTCTAGTGTTGTGGCTTTCCTATTTTAATTTTTTATCTTTTGTTCATAGTACGATTTCAATATTTTCAGCTTTTCAGTCTGATAATTTTTTATACTTTTCATTGACTCCATGGTTAGCTGTAAAAATCTTTTATTATTCTTTATAGATTCTGTTAAGCATATTGTTTTGTTAACTCTCTTATGTGGTCTTTTGACACTTGTGTCAGTATTTAAAACAGGATTTAAGGATTCTAAATTTGTAGCTGTCCAACTTCAATTGCCATATCTGTGTCTTCTTCCAAATTACCACAGTAGTCATAATCCAGCTGAAAAAAGTACATTATTGCTATTTAGAAAAATATTTATCCTAACTAAAAGTGAAATATTCATCAGGTCATACAAATATCTACTTCAAATAAACCAGGCTATACTTTAATATCTCTTAAAATCAGTTTATGCTTTGTAACATATCTTTTACCTTTATACTATACGCTTGGATTGGATTGTGTAACAAATCAAGTATTTAAATTCAGTATTATTTTATCTTATGCTGATATGCTAGCACTTACCCTATGAGGCATTTCTTCCAACACAAATGGGTCTGGAACATTCTCATTTCCAGTGACACAAACTGGAGTAATTAGTTCCATAATCTTGTCTTCGACATAATCATGCATTGGAGGTAGACCGCCCCCTGTATCAGAGTGATCTTTTTTCCTATGTGCTAGTCTCGACTTTGAACTTTTTTTATATCAATCCATGTCTAGAACGATTATAATTTTTTTACATCAGTTCCAAGCAAATGCAGAATGCATTATTTAATAGTATAATTAGACAGAGATATAATGTAATACTTACTTTTCGCCATTGCACCCAGTCTTTACTAACTCCATTAGGCAACGCATTTAATTTGTTTGCCATTTCAGTCCATAACGCCTAGGACTGGGCACGGTTATATGCCGGCGTGAATTTTCCCTGGCGAATTTGCGGGTGTTCTCGGAGTAATTCAATCAATTTCTCCTTTTGCTCATTTGTAAGGTGTTTTTTTGGACGTTTTCGACTCCATAGATAAAATGACAGATAAAATAATGAGAAAATCTTGGCCGAAATGTTTGGTTAGTTTTTGACTGTCAAAAAGTCAAAATTATCTCCATTTTGATTGGTTTAACACATTTACCCAAACCTGGCAACCCTGTGTCTTGATTTCCTTTCTCCTTTCTATCGAGTCCTTTCAAGAATACAGTATTTTCGAATTGATAGAAAACTGGGGGAGTAGAAAAAGAGAGGGAGTGTGATTTTCTATTGAAGTCAAGAATACGGGCACAGGAGAAGTGTTTTGTCATGAAAATAAAATTAGATATTTTTAAAAGGTACTATAAAATTATTATTCTAAATAAGAAACGTGTTGTAATAATTCACTTTATCAAGATATAGTTAAGTTTTAGTCGACCGTAAAAAGAAACTGTAGCAGTGTGTTGAAAATATTTAAAACATGGCTATGGATCATAATAAAGGGATCAAGAACCTCTATTCGATCTAATAGAAAGCTGCCATTGTTGTCTTTTTTTATACACCGTAAGTATATTAAGTTAATATTTTCATCTTTCCTTTTTTTGTTAGTACGAGTATCATTCAAATAGGTTTTTAATAAGGTCCCAATTAGAATAAACTATATTTGTAAGCCTTGGAGTACTGCCAGATAAGATCTAGGGTCAGTTTTTGCTAACGTTTGCAAACTATTGGAAAATAAAACCTTATACTGTCATATTATTGCAGGTGGTCCGATACGGTTATTTAACTTTTTTGAATTTACCCCTTGAGTGGCCTTGAAATGCCTTTCTAGAGACATACTAATCTCTCGGATTTTAACTCAACGACCTCAAAAACTTATGTAACGCGCGTCTCGACTTCAACGCCCGAAGGCTTATTTTGAATTGATCCTTGTGTGACCTTCAGATACTTCCTAGTGACAACTTCGACTATGATTTGGTTTTAACAACCAGAAAAGCCTGAACGGCATGAAGCTGCCTCAGCTGTTCGGCTTATTGTGAAATCGTCCTTGATATGACCTTGAAATGACCTTCAAACGGCTCCATAACGACAAGTTACCCACGATTTGACATCAGAGACCAAGAAAAAACCGTTTCGTGAAAATCGAAATTGCATCTTTTGTCAGCTTTTTGGTATTCTAGACAACTGTGCGACATAGGAGAATTTGGCGAATTACTCATAGATGGCAGACTCATTCTCGCACATTACAATACGGTGTGTTTCAATAGAACCTTATTCGCTTGCTTGCTCCTCAACCTTATATTGCTTGCCGATGACACAACAATGCTCTGTAGTAGCAAATCAATTGATCCACTTCTCTCTGTAAATATTGACTATACAATAAATTTAGAAAATTGGTTTTCAGGAAATAAACTGACACTTAACATAGCTTCAATACCATACACAGTAACATTTTTGGGTGTCAGTATTCATACTCACATGGCATGGGAGCAGCATGTGAACAGTGTTCTCAGGGAACTAACCAAGACTATGTCTTTAATTAGGAATCTGAAAGGCCGTGTTTCTGGTGATGCGTTGCTAATCACGTATTATGGACACTTCCACTCAAGAATCTCGCATGCACTCGTGAATTGGGATTACTCTGTGCATATGACTAAAGTATTTGCACTACAAAGGCGATGCATCACAGTTATTGCAGCCATGCGGGGAGGCAGTCATCAACCTAAAGATATTTACTCTTCCATCTCTATATATATTTATCTGCTTCTGTTATGTACACAACAATTTGGATCTATACAGAATGCACACTGATGCACTTAGTTACAATACATGTAACATGCATAAGTTAGATATTCCTTAACATCGACTACAAAGAACTAGAAGCGGTTCTAACTACTATGCAATCCCCTTTTATAATGTTTTTCCTGGGGCACTCAGAATGTCTGGCCTGGACTCATTCAAGTATAGAATTACAGCTTACCTTATCAATAAAGCAGCATTTTATAGCATCTAAGAATTGTTAAGTAATAACTTTTCGGGTCACCTGTAATGTTGTTGTAGTGTGCTTAATTACTTTTGCCCTGTTTCTCAATTTGTTCGGATGTGCTTGTTCTATAATTTTGTATTCAACTTAAATATATAATATCATTTTACAGTTTTTCTGTTACTGTTGTTTTTTACAGTTTTCTGTTAATAATTTTCTTCCCAAAAAAATGTTGTTGTTTTGTGAACTTACAATTTTGTAATTTACCTTCTACTTTGACCTGGGTAAACACGCAAGTGTATTAAGCACCAATTAAGAAATGGCATGATATTAATTTCCTGTCTCCAACGACTAGACCCATACCATACCGATGATTGCTGAAAAGCGTGAAACAACGTTTTATATGGTGGCATATGGTCACAGAGGAGACGGTACGTTACGTCAAATCCGGTATGTCCTCAGCACTCTCCCGGTTGACGAAACGTCTATGTGGTGGGAGATACTGTCCGTTTCTTAGAAACGAACTGTCAAGAGAGATGTCGGTACAGTGTAGTTTCCCGGATTGATGGTTGGCAGTACAGCGATAGGCGAACCACTACTACCAGGTGGGAATGTGACCTCTTCGCATACATTCCTGCCATTTCCAGCTTTTGTATTTCGTTGTTCAGATTTTTTTTTATTTCATATTACTTTTCAGAGAGTGCCTGTAGACTAGGAATAGATAAAAAAACTAGCACTCTCATGAGGATACTGCACCAAATTAGCAACTTTTTCCATTCGATGTCACTTCAGGAACTTTGAATTCCCATCATTGGATATCCAACGTTCCGTCAAATGTATCAATATGGAATGGAGTTGGATGAACTTTCGTGCTAAGCCCGCAGAGATAACAGATGGGTTTCAATCTATCGAAAAACATCCAAAACTCAAACTAAAACTTTCAGTCATGCTTTAGAGTGAAGCAAAGTTGCTTTACAAAACCGATTCATATGGTCTCTTAATAGACACAAGAGGGGACAAGAGGGGGTAAGAGGGGGCAAAATGAAAAGAACATGTTTTGTTATGGAACTCAAATTGGGACGAAAATTACTCATGTACTCGATGAACTCAGACCTATATCTATTACATGGAGAATTATTAGGCTTAATCACTGGATATTACGTATGCAGAAATAACTATCCTTTTTGGAGTTCGATGTGGGCTCATAACGCAAATTAATTTTTTCTCGCTACTAATCTCAGAAGTTACCATTACTGACCACCGTGCCTTATTAAGAAGTGCCACTTCTTTCCCTAGGGAAATATTGGACCCCAAAAAATTAATAACAATAATCTCATCTGAAATCGTACTGAGTATAGCTCATGTAGTTCTTCTTCTTGAATACACCAATTATCTACATAATGTTTGAAAACGGCTTCTAATGTTGACAAAAAGAAAATGCTTGTATCTTATTCCCATTGGATGGACCAGTTCAATCCAGATCGGCAGGGTTATTACGTTAAAAGCCTATATAATGTCAAAAAAGACCGACATAATATACTCAGTAACACCCAGAAAAAAATAATTTCTTCAATTTCTCTTCAACCTGTTTTTTTGGCAACATAATGAATATATTCAAAAAGCATGCTGTGGCAACAAAGTCAACGTTTTATCTTTGTTTTTGTTTTCCTTGTTAAAATGTCACCTCTTAGTTTTTGTAAAGAAAGCAGTTTCTGAGAGCTGAGTAGTTCAGATATGTTTGGTTATTGCCCTATCATTTACTAGTGTTCGAAGACTTCCAAATTATTACCATGTTAAGACGAGTTTACACACTACGTCTTATTGTACGTTTTGTAGGGCATACAAAACGTACGACAAAACGTACATTTTGTCCAGTATATACACACTACGTGTTTTCACTTCCGCTTTCTACTACAGTTCACCAATCTAGACTCTTGAGATGTGTGAAGTTTGTTTAATGAACGTTTTTGAGAGAAATTTTTTTATTATGGGGGAAAACGGCTGCTTTCTTTTATTTTTTCAACTACAAGGACACAACAACTAGGAGGAAAAGGGATGAAGAGGCAAAAGTCAAGGTGGTCACGAGAGTGGCTTCTGAAAACAAGCCAGTATTCCCACGTCTCGTTATTGAAACAACTGAGGAGCGAACTTGACGACTGGCGCAATTACACCTTCGCCTATTGTCAATTGCTAGAGTTAGTAACCGAGATTTCTGATCACTTTTTTGTAAACCGAACTCAACGAGTTTATTTTTGCTTTGTCTCTTTATTTGCCGTCGGGTCTATTTCTTTGTATTTTTTTATAATATCCTCATATGCGGCGTTTTTTTATTGAGGTCACTGTAGTCTTTATTTTTTACTTACCCCAAACACGGAAAAATTATACAATTCAATGAATTTCACGAGAAAATCGTGGGTGCATCGCCACAAATCTGATATTATTTGATTTTTTTGGGCAAAAATGAAGCGAACTCAAGTGGAGCTACTCATGAACTGAGCCAAGATCGTTCGTCTTGTTTGAACATGTGTCTACACGAATCGTTTTGTCCTATTAGCTCTCGCAAAATGATGCTGCTCCCACCAGAGTTTCAATCTGACATTGGGTTTCATTTCGATTTGACAAGACACGTTTTGCTGTCTACACGCCATGTTTTATTGGATAGAGTTTGCCCTGTCCCACACAACGTACAATAAGACGTACCGTGTAAACCCGCCTTTAACGACTCTGCCTGGGATAAAATCATTACCTATAGAGATGTCGGTTTTTCTTTCGCGAAATTGACCGCCGTGTTTATTGTACTGCAATGACCGCAATGCGTGTGTGTCGTGTGTGGATAGAACTGGGTAGAGGAACACGAAGAAGGCCAACTGCCCTACCAGACGGTTTTTTTACTACGCGTCAGATCTGCTGATCAATGCTTCGGAGAAGAAGGTAGACCTGTTACTATGCGTACAATCTATCGCCGCATTTGAGCCTTTGGACTTTTTTCATACCGTGGTCGGTTAGTGCATCCTCTGAGTGCGAACCACTGTCGTCATGTTTGAACTGGAGTAGAGAATGGCAACA